GTTTTAAACCAATAGTAATGTACTTAATTAAGCTAATTATAAGGATTTTTAAGGATATTTATTAGTACTTGTATCGGTACTTGGTATCGGCAAGTACTTTAATGTAAGTACTTGTACTCGTTTTTCAAAAATCTGGTATCGGTGCATCCCTAATGTTCATGAATGACTTTAAAAGACCAGAATAAAAAGAAACTTTTGCAAAATTAGTTGTATTTAATAATAATTACATCTTCAAGCAGTAAAACATAACTCAAAAAAAATGAATTTAACATGGTCTATTATAGGACAGAGCTTATCTGAATAATAGACCATGTTAAATTCAGATAAGCAGGACTCTGTCCTCACAAGGCTGTGGACTTCAATGACTTTCAGTCTGGTTTCAGACTGGGACTGGGTCAGGAACTGGTCTGAGGATGGACACTATCACGTTTTCAGCCTCCTGAATAATTGAGGACAAACCTATTTGCATCCAAACCCAAACATTACGTTGTAGTTGTACAGTTAAAAACAATCAAATCATCTGTTAAAAAAACATTTGAAGTCTTTCAGTTAAAATAAATAAATAAATTAATAAGTCAGACAGAATTGTGCTTTATTGTCTGCAGGAGGAAAATCCAGGGTGTGTTGCAGCCCTGCCGGTAAGGTGCGCAACATCATCCCTGTCTGCGAAATTTCACCCTCAAACACACATGGTTTGTTAACCTGGCGTTTCAAAACACATCGGAAATAATATTACCACGTAACCACTAAAAACACATACATCCTGCCGCTTATTTTGCGGGATTAAATCAATAGATTTTCTTTAAGTTTAGCCTGTTTGAGGCGAAGGCCGCTTTTACAGCCCTCACCTTTTTATTTTTTATTTTTTAGTATCAAATGGAAGTAACGCAGTAAACACGTGCATGTGAGTGGCTTTAGGCGGAAAATATCGGCACACAAAGAAAACGCCCTTGCTAAATTTTCCCCCATTTCTCCCACACGTGACTTTAATATTACAGGAATTACGGTAATAAATAAAAAAATCGGTAATTTCGTCCAGAAACGCCGCGTGGTTTCATTGTCCCTCTCAGGCACAATTTGTTCCTTAAGGAATGCGCATAAATTAACGCCGTTCCTCCCGCGCAGGCTGCGTGACATCCATGTGAGGTGTTTCATCATCCTCATCCTCCCGTGGTACCCTCAGCCTCACACACAGCATCCCCCCGGCATCCCCCCCCCCTCCTCGGCTTTAAATAATAATAATAAATAATTAAAAACCAGACGCTCACCTGCGAGCACCGACAGTTGTGACTTTCCTGAAGTGGACCGTCTCAGGGGATGAAGTTGTGAGAGCACATGCACGGGGCAGACATCATCACTGGTTTCTCTGCGACCACAGACTGAGAGCGGTTCCGAAAAGACGAGGTGAAAAGAAACAAGGGAGCGAACTAACCCGGGGGGGGGGGGAGGGGGTCCCCACGCGCACCACCATCAGCTCGTTAGCATCCTTTAAATTAAGGCTATTACATCAGATATGAGCCTAGTCGGGCTTTATGTAAAAGTTCACCGCAAAAACGTGTTTACACTGCTAAAATAAAGGCTAAAACGAGCGTCTTTGCTGTCAGTCCACCCCCCCCTCCTCTCTTTGACTTGGTACAGTCCACTATAAATCCAGGCTGGGCAGCACAAGTGTCTGTTTATAAGCGCTGATTAGAGCTGGAGTTCGTTCACACAGAGCGATGTTTTTTGTTTTTTACGCGATGTCCTGACTAAATAAAGGATTGAATGTTTGCATCAGTAAAAACTGAAAAAAAAAAAAAAAAAAAAAAAAAGAGGGGCAGGTTGTGTTTCAAGGTCGGATTCAACCAGCAGCCATGCAGACTGTCGGGATGGAAAATTTCCATCCAGCGGAGACACGAGGAAACCTTTTCAAAATAAAGGATGTCTTTTGTTTTATTCCTAAGTAATCTTATGTTACCTACTTCTTATCAATACACCAAAGTAGTTTATTTGAACTTTTTATTTGATCCAGATTCATAAAACAGTGGTGAATTGAACTAGACACATTTTGGTTGATTTAGATAATCTTAAATATTCTACTTTTACAAATTTTCATATATATACAGTATATATCGGCCAGACAGTGTATAAAAATTAATAAATAAATTTTTATACTGTATATATATATATATATGTGTGTGTCGGCCAGACATTGTATAAAAATTAACATATAAAAAATCTAATTACATTATAATACTATAAAGTTGATTTACAACCAAAACAGTATAGGATATGAATTATTTTCAAGTACAACATTGGTAATAACTGTTACCCGTTTAATAAGTTAAAACGTAGCCAGTGATGCATGATGTACAATTGAGTGGACATGTGTTTAATCTGTATTTTCTACAAAGATAAACTCAAAACTTGGAAAATCTTTCCATAATATGTCACCTTAGATGTTTTTTGATGTAAACTTGTATTTTTTTACCTACAATGGTATCTTTTTATGGAAGGTAGAAACTGAAATAGCCGAGGTGTTTGGTTGTTCTCCCCATCTGCCAGCCATCTTTGTTTCACTGATTTTTTTTCCCATTGCAATGACAGCCAATAGGATTGTTTTGTATGAGATACATACATAGGATATATAATAGCTTCCATTAGAGTGGATTATCTGCAACACTGCCCAAAGCTGAAGTCATATATATAGAAAAAACACTTTTAAACAGCTTTACACTGTAGTGACCTCCATGCACGAAAGTGTTAAAGGGCTTTTAAAGTTGTTCTTTTTCTGGACTTTGGCTGTTTTCTTGTCAGTCCAGTAAATGATCTTTCTCAGAGGGACATTTGTTAACTGGTATGAGAGACGTATGACTCTTTGGTGCATAGAAATAACTCAGAGGTAACCTCAGTGCCGTACCCAATAGACACTTTTGCAAAGAATAGTTTTTAGATTGGCTGTTTGAGAACTTTATTACTGACAAACTGTCATAATTTGTTTAGGTTTCACATTCCAGTGGTAGAATCCATAAAATTACCAAGGAGCATGATTGGAATTAGTTTTTCTCAGTTGCTTTGGTTGCAAGAGACTGGACCTGAGTCACATATATGTTTTTATTGTTTGTACTGTAATTTGTAATTTTAAAGTGTCTTATCAAGCATCTGCTGTGACGTCATCACACGCTGCATCCATTGCAGCCAGAAGGGTCATCTCTGTGTGTGTGTATGTTGTCCATCTTCATGCTGAGAAAATCTCATCAGTGGGGTTAAGGAACAGGGAGTAGGGTGAGAGGAACTCGATCAGCTCCTTTTCTGGGTCACACGCCATTGCCTGACGATGTTGGAGCGATGGAAACTGACATTGTCCCAAACTATCACATCTTTGGCACGTCACCTCCAGTCAGACCCCTCTCTTGTTCAGAGATGAGATTCATGTAGAGAGGGTCTAAAAAAAGTGATGAAATTCAACAATCACCAGGGAACAATTTACCAATTCAGGATAGATTTAGAAAAAAGGTCTAACGAAGATGTGTAGAAGTTTGACATCTTAAGAAAACCTGTTCAACCATTTTGCATGTAAAGACTTGAGAGATGAACTAATGCCTAAATGTTTTGGGGGTGTACATGTTCAAAGCAACTGAGAATGAAGGAAACATCAGAGAAATGTACAGAATCATTTACATGGATGTACCAAAGCATTTGCAACTTGTTCAGAAAAATTAGAAAACAGTTGTTCTGATGTGTTCAAGTGACACGACAATTTGAAGATTGAACAAGCAGTTTTGACAATTTAAATTCTGAGCCACAAAACGTAGCAAAGCAAATTAGAAAAAACTGTACAAGAGAGTGAGGAGGGTGAGGGGTAGAGGAGAGGTCTGCAGTGATAAAGACTGATTCCATTGAAAGAGTTAAAACAGCTTGGGGGAGGGGGGGTGGGGGGTTGATAAATAAATCCCTGTATTCTATATTAGCAGTAAATAGGCATTTTGCATTAAATTTCTCTCTCTTACACACATTTTTCAGAAGTTGTGTAAATTTGTGATAACCTTAAAGATGCATGAGACAATGTGCAAATTTAGTCAAATATTTATACTGGCAGATTTAAAAGCATTTTACTAAAAACTGACAAACCTGTCAGACCTGAAGAGTACTGAAAGTTATACAGAATAATGCAGACATCTTGAGCACAACAAGCAGTAGTTTCAATGACAAAAACACAAAACAGCCCTGTTCTCCATGAAGTTGTTAAAGGAGACCAATTATGGGTCCTAGAAATGTTTATGGTATGTCTGTGGGGTATCCAGACCATGTTCATTCAATTTAATGCACAAAATAATTCTCAGATAATAAAATTTCTCATTTTCTAGTTCTGCCTGCTCTGACTTCTGTTCAGAAGAGCTGTTTATGTTAATGAACTCTGTTGGTAACGCCCTCCAAAAATCTGTTGACATTAACTCCGCCCTCCAAAGCCAGCGTTTACGTTAGCATGGCTAATAATAGCAGAAGCTCCGTTGTACAACCATATGAGACCCAGAGGCAGAGTCGTGGTCACAGCTTCTTTTTTTCCCTCCTCTGCTCCGCGCTCACTCTGCATGCTGTTACCAGAGCAGGGAGCAGCAGCGGTCAAAACACCTCAGAAACTTGAACAAATAGACTTTAACAAGGCATTAATAAGCTGAACAATAGAGGAAGCTGAATTTATTCTCCCTGAGAAGTGAAGGAACCTAATCTCACTGTTGCCAGATGTTCTTTTCGCTATGGCATAAATAAACTGTAGTGTACAACTGTAGTGTACAACTCCTCAGATGCCTCACCACGGCAGCAAACGACACACGCAAAGCATAATGGTTTGGTTATCCCACAGAAACAACAACAAACAGTGAGGTTGGACTGGGCTATCTCCTTCCACAACTATCCAGTTGACTTGCTTTCTAAGATTTGCTGGAATAGTTGTAAACAGCTGTATTTTCTAACAACCTCAGACAGCTGCTCTTTACTCCGATCTATCTTGCTAACACAATAGTGATGTGCAGATCGATCCTGAAATATCGATACTACCGATACCAGAACTTTATGCTCTAGAATCAATACTAAAATCAAAATATCAATACTTTGATACTTCAGTTACTTCACATAATGTATTTCATTAACAGAAAAATAATGGAAACGCACTAAACTATGGGAAATGCATAAGTACAGTGGCACGTGCTCAGTCTAAATGTGTGGCAAGTCATTTTAACATAAAATCGACTTCGTCTGACTGTCTGTAATTACATTTTAGATGTGGGGTTCCCAAACCTTTTTTTTTTTTGCCATGGTCCCCCAAACAGCATTAGTTCTGGTCAGGGACCTTCTTGCAAACCCACAAACAATGCTACAAAATATACAAAGAAAATGCTTTTAGGACTTTTTTTTCCTCACTTTTATTCACTAGTCAAAAAATATTGTATTTCTTTAGAATGAGAATTTTAAATTGTGCTAAACAAATATAGGGTTAGGGTTAGAAAGACTTTTAAATTAATAAATAAATTACTGTCATGTATTACTTATAAAACAGTTTTTTGAAAAATGCTACTTTTTAAGATTTACCAGACACATTACGTGTGTTATCACAAAGTATCAGTATCGGATTAGTATTGTCGATACCAGCCAAAATTTACTCGGTATCAGTATCGGAAAGAAAATTGGCAGTATCGAACATCACTACAACACAACACGCAGTTCCTGGAAGCGAAGCAGTTGAAGTGAAATGACAGCATTGCAGTTCACTCGCTTTTCGGCATGAATGTGCAGAAACACATCTACAACAAAGTTCCTACCAATTGCACAATAGTTGACACTTACCCACAAGAGAGAGAAAAAAAAGTTCCTTCATTCTAAGTTTTCTTTGTACAACAAACAACAAAAAAATAACTTTTTGGTCCTCACAACTGTGTCCCTTATTATTAAGGTGGAAGTGCACGGCTGAGTCTTATCTTGAAGAGCTTCTCCCCTGTTTTGAGGCTGTTTAGTTCTCCATTACAGAGGTCTGAATGTTCTGCGCTGCACTGCACTGCACAAACCACACTGCTCAGTTTGTGTTTGGGTGTTATGGACCAGCCTGTCTGAGAGAACAAAGTTCTACCAAGCTACTGAGTGTTTCCATGTTTGCAGTAATTATGTTATGAAACACAGCCCTTCTCCAGTTCAGTTTTCTCAATGACTCTTCTTTGCACACGAGTGGCAAACATGTTTTAACACCCAACAAATTATTTAGGAAACATCTTTGACTCATATTTCATTCATTTCCTAATGTTCCTGCATCTAGATGTCACTTCTGACCGTGCAGAGAGGAGACTCAGACATGCAGGAGACATTTGCATCTATTTGTATATTTAAATGAAGGCGTGTCTGGGAAGGTGTCTCATGTTTT